CATCTCGCATCTCGCATGTCCCCTAGAAGCTTCCGTAGGTTTCACATGTAGTTATTTTGGTAACAATTGCGACTGTTATTGGCCTCATGATGCATGACTTGTCGTACTTGATAATCCTGATATTTCTTTAGTGCCATCCATAATTTATTCAAATAGAATCTATTGGATCCCATTGTTTATTGTTACTCTACACACAATGATATTTTAACCGTACAATCGAATATTAACCCGTGAAATCATATTAGACTGTTCCTTTGTTTCCTTTTGTTTATTTGATTCATTACACTCTATTGTTTCGTTTCACGGGTTGAGTAAGTTTATTATCTAAATGGGGCTAAATGTAATTTAGGCAAATTTAAAACCTCAACTAAGCCTGCTAGCCTAAGCACCGTTGGCCAGCGGACCATCCACGCTACGCATTAGCCCTCGCTTCKGGTGRTGTATTCACTAGCTGGATTGTAGCTTGTATGCCATCTTTGCCATGCTTGCCATCTTACAAGTGGCCCCTCCCTCCCCTGTATGGTTAAGTTTGGTCATCATAGGTAAGTATTATCTCCRCTGTTTTAACAGTGTGACAGGTACCAGTGTTGGGATGTGGCCCGGTTGCCATGGTTACCTCCTTGCTGGGGGATATACTCGCGTAACCGGACCCCGCACTGGTACCTAACACAGACTCACTAGTTGATGAGTTTTAACTCTAATATGATGTAAAGTAMTCTAATCCCGAAGGCTTAGCTAATCATTAGAAAAACACAGTAGCTGGCATTTAAATTTTGTAAGTATTGATGAGATTTGAATAGCAGTTCATTTATAACATGTGTGAACTGTCAAATAAAACATGCATATGTATTTAGATAATACTTTGTATTGGTGCGGTTTTGCGGTAAAAAATGCACTCGTCTTACTCTTCGTTTCGTTTATTTGATTGCGTTAGAGAGTTCCTAATAATAAAGGACAGATTACAATTTAACGATAAAACAGAAAACGATTAAAGTAAACGGAAAGCAGAAGAAATAGAAAAAATACTTACAAAACGATGTAACTAGCTAAAAACTAGTGTGAGCTGCGTCGGTGTTTCTAATGAAACAGTAATGATGAAAAGGTAAATTATASACCGTGAAAAGATGAAAAAACTTACTGACGTTTCGGACGCTAGTCCTTCGTCGGAGTAAAAGAGAAAGAAGTGGTAGAAAGGAGCGTATATATGATAGAATAAGACAAAAGAAACCAATGAGAGCAAGRTAGGCAAGGAAACAAAAACAAACAATCAAAAGACAAAAGAAAAGGTTAGTTGAAAGTAAAGCGTTCATTAGTCCCGTTGGGACTAAGAGTGCCCAATAGGTGAATAAGCAGCATTTCTTTGGTCTTGCGACAATCATTGTTGCCTTTAAGCAAAGAAAAACCGAAAACAATGAAGTCAGAAAGAGAATGGTTAGCTAGATTAAAATGGCGGGAAACTGGTTTGGTGGGATCGTTATTGCGAATATCATAAAGATGATTGCAAATGCGATCACCAAGACGGCGGCCAGTCTCGCCCACATACAAAAGATCACAGAGGGTACATTTAATACAAAATACAACATTAGAAGTGGTACAAACAATATGGTCAGTGATTTTAACAGTTGATTTAGGAYCGACAAYAGAAGTGTGAGAGRCTATGTGAGGACAAGTATAACAACGTTTACGAGAACAGCGAAAAGTACCAGGTTCTTTGTTAGAGGGAAGAACTCCCATGACCAAGAAAGAACGAAGATTACGATCATGTTTATAGGATCCCTACAGATGATGTCGTGGATATTCTAAATGAGTACAACGTGAGAACCGTTCCTTCACAAGATAATGTCAAAGATTTGATAAAGAATGTGGCGTCCATGGAACTAGTTTCTAGACCTTACATTGCACTAGCAAACACCAAGAAGGGAATGGGGCCTTTCTGGGCAAACGTATGGAAAAAAATGATYGACGCACTGTACAGCCTCTGTGAACCAACCAATTCCGCAGTGSTAATGAGCCTCGCATTTCAACTGTCAACGCCCCAAGAAAATCGAGTGTTTAGATGGCTAAAGAAATACCTTATGGAGTCCGATATAAGGACAGTYACGAAATTTCTGCAATTTTGCACTGGTTCAAATATCGTCGAGCCCACCCGCCCCATTGCACTAAAGCTTGAAGTTATGCCACAGGTGGCCATGAGGCCCAAGGCCAAGACCTGCTTTAGAGTCCTATCCCTGCCTATCAACTACTTATCCTATTTCCAATTAAATGAAAATCTTGACCCAGTCTTTTTGGTAAAAGGAGCCTGGGACCTGGAAGATTACTAAAGCAAAACATACCGTAGGTACAGCTTTTTAGCAGAAAAACTGTCATTTCTTAAAAGTTTAAGATATTAAAAGGTATTAGGATACGTTTACGACCACTATGCGCGCAGACTTAAATAACGCGCTGGCTTTATAGTATAACACAAACATAGTATACATTTTCTGAAAGTTGAATAAACATAGTTTATGAAGAAATCTTCAAATTACGATCTTTTTAATTGTTGTTCACATTATTGTCCCCGAAGCGAAATTTGACCATGCCTCAGTGAAAACGTTAACGCACACGTACATTTTAACCTATGTTTGAGAAAAATGTCTTAACATACTCAGGAGATAATAAGCTCCTAAAGGGTGTCCCAGATTTTTTGATATCTGTTTTATATCTCTCGCTATTTTTGATCAAAGTTCGACGATTGCTTTTGGAGTGTTGTTTAGAGTAATCCTTTTTTGGATCATGAGTTACTTTATAAACTCTCCAAATTTTAGAAAAATCGAATGAAATCCAAGAGGTTTTAGCGGCAAAAAAGATTCGAGAAAATTGCATTTCTTTGTTTGGAGCCGGAAGCTGCAGGGAGCCACGATTGTGTTGGCCAAAACACCTGGAGCCTTCTATTTTGTCATCACTTGTCAAATTATCTGTTGTTCTGGACGATCGCAATTTAGGATCTTTTTACAAGGACAAAGGAGCATTTGGACTCGAYGTTATCGCAAGCGACGGGACATTTCCGGTCTTTATAAAGTCACGATTTTGATTTGTCTCAAAATTTTGGTTTTTCCAATCAAAAATTGCAAGAAGTTTTACAAACATATGAAAGACAAAAAATTAAAGTTACGAAATTTCAAAAAAAAGTTTTTTTCGAGCAAATCGTCATTTTTCGTATCCTAATACCTTAAGGTTACGGTTTGTTGTGCTAGAGTATTTTTACTGTACAATTATTAAGAGTGTTGAAGGCATACCATGATACATGAGAGGATAAATAATTAGAATTAGTTAAATGTAATTATATTTTTTTGTAATATTTATTTCATAATTACACTAAAATGATTCTGTTCTTTTGGATTGTTAGTTCATTACTGAATAGAAATTATTATTTCATGCTTTTAGTGTTTGTAATCTATGATGTTTGAGTTACTATTTAGGGGGCCTACAACCTTACACAAAATAACTTCGGTGTTACGAGGACGCTTTTTCAAAAATTACGTTTTAGTTATTTCTATACCTTGCACTTTCAAAGTGTTTCCCCCCACCTTCCCTCTATCCAAGGTTGTATGGATGAGGCACTAGAACAACACTGTTCAGGCAGGGGGCTGAAGAATGAAAAAACTGAAAAGCTYGAGTGTCAGCTGCATTAATGCGATTCTCAAAATTCTGCGAACTCAGACATTTCAACGGCTTGTTGTGAAATAGTTTTTTTTGCTGCCGTCAATCAAAAATAGTCGGTACCTTTTATATAGTTTTTGACGGGCGGCAGTGAAAAACCAATTCCAACGGGTAACTTGCAACTACCGAGCTACCGAGTTCGCAGAATTTTGAGAATCGCAGTAARCAGTCATCATGGCCCAGACTTTGATATATACTGGGTATTTGATTACCATTATRAACAAATAAAAATATAATTGATAAAGTTCGATTTGACTATTTCTATTATATTTTTCATTTTCATCACTATCTCGTTCCCTATTATCTGAGAAACTAAGATTCTTAAAGCCGGGGGCGGAATTGATATCAACTATAACAATTATAAACCCGGGAGAGGTTTTTAATTACACGGATATATTGTAAGCACTCTATTTCCAAAAGAACAAAGCAACAGTAGTCTACCTCTCTGAATTCGATATAATTTAGTATTTCGTGTTTTGCATCGAAACAATGGAATTTAGGGCTTAGTTGATATTTTAAACCAGTTCAAACCGCGCCCTAGCGTTTGAACCTTTATGTATTATACGAGCGGTTYCTTCAAATCAAAAACAAATATGTTGCAATTATAGAGAGAAATTAACTGATCCATATTTTGAAGTTTGAATCAATTATATCTTTTATATCTTTCGTACTCTTTCACTCACTAATTCGTCATAACTCTTTGCGCAAACCGGTTTCGTCTACTCTAAATGACCTATTAGACGCCCGGGGCGTCTATTACATTTTCGTAACGAAAGGGGGGAGCGAGGGGGGAGGGGGCGTTTAATAGATAAGCGGCATTCATTAGAGAGGGGCGTTTATTTCAATCTTTAAAAGCTGAAAATAAAGCAGAAATATGCCCAAAATGTAAGAACAGCAACGAGAAATGTTCAATAACAGATCACAGTCAACGAGTTAAATTGATTCAATGTCAACATCGGAATAGTCCTCTGGTCATCAAGCATTTATTCCCTTCATTTGCTTCATCAATGTCTGAGTCTAATGTCACTAAGGCCCCGTCCACACGTATCCGGAAATTCTTGTATCCGCAATTTTTGTTTTTGCGGATACGAAAATGTTTGCGTCTACACTCAGCGTATTCGAATCGTTTTCGAATCGTTTTCACTGTCCACACGCACGCTAGTGCCTAGTCCATTTGACGGATAGTTTTTCTTACTGAGCATGTGCAAAATCGTGTTTACGTCAGCGTATTTTAAAATTTGCGGATACGACCGTCCACACGTATCCGTATTCGAAAATGTCCACTCTGGAGACCGTTTTCGAAAATTTCCGGATACGGATACAAAAATTTCCGTACACGTGTGGACGCAACCCGTATCCGCAAAAAAAATTTGCGGATAACAAAAACATCCGGATACGTGTGGAGGGGGCTAAAAGGGTCTGGGCGTTTGTGTTCGTCTAACACAGAAAGCTGCAYCTTGAGTTGCTCGAATCCTCAATTGTTCCTGTGTAGTATTATGCAAGGACAAATCGACGAAAGCTTGCTGACATTCTTAGCAGGGAGATAAAAGCTATCAAAGAGCGATACCCGTACTTTGCGCTCGAAATAGAGGAATATATAATTAGAAAACCATTATTGATTAAGCAAGAAACTGAATAAATAAAAATAAAAATTTTAATAATAATAATAACAATAATAATTCCCGATATTGTCTACAGCGTAAACAAGAGCATACGCCAACAACTACTACCAACRAAGACATACCAACAAAGCAAAGCACAGATGACCATCACAGACACCAAATRCAGAATGTGCCATATGGCTACAAAATCAACAACACATGTACTGAGTGGCTGCTCAAAGATCGCCCAAWGCCTTTACACAGCCAGACACGACAGAATGCGGAGACCGATATACCACTGTTTGCTGGAAAAGTACAACTTTCAGGAAAGCGACAATGGAAAGCCATGGYACCAACAAAGTCTAMCATCAGCAGTACTTCAAAATGAAAAGGCAAAAATATACTGGAATGTACCCTTTCAACTTGAGAAAGCTCAAGAAAACAGTGCCAATAAACCCGACATAGTTGTAGAAGATAAAGAAACTAATGCTTGGACACTATTTGAAGGCACAGTTTGTCATGTTGGTAAGATTGCGGAGAGCTGTTATAAAACAAGAAAAATACACGGAACTACGTGCAGGCATCAGAAAAGAGTGCAAAAGCTCAAGTGTAAATCAGATTAACATAGTGTTTGACTTTCTCGCAGGACATCACGAACAGCTAAGAAAAGACCTAAGAACAATTACAAATACAGACAGGGAAGTGAACTTTCTTATAGAACGATGCCAGAAATGGATTTTAAGCCAGAACGTTAATATGGTCAAGAGGTGCTATGAATATGCATAAGCTGAAGAAAGAATTGAAAAAAAATGATGAACTTAACCAGCCTAGACTTAGTCCGCTGGCCAATGTAAACATGATATATACAGACAAATAAAACTTGCCATAACAATAATAATAATAATAATAATAATAATAATAATAATAATAATAATAATAAACATATTCGTACTAAGAAAATCCTTAATTTCAAACCCACCAAAAATCCTCGTGTTTAGGGGCGAAAAACACCCTTTATGCCTTATTCTTACCATTCAAGTAGTGTTAAATTTAGCATTTCTTCCCGGTACACAGGGAGAGATTTCCTGTTACGATTATTGAAGTTGTTTCAGTTAAAATTGTTAATCTGTCGTAGTAAACGTCAGATTGCCCGGTTATCTGTGCATTCTTGCTGTTAAACATGAATTGCTCGTTCAATCCCTGGTCTCGCCGTATAAATCCCCGCTTTGTCCCAGGCGTTGGATGGTTCCAATTGACTAGTGAAGAAAATCAAGTTCACAATTCAGTAAAGAAATTAAACAAAAAGAAGAAGAAAAAAACAAAAACAAAAAACTACGATCTAAAATTTCCAACACTAAGTCACATCATAGTTCTGTAAAACATATCAAAGAATCAGGTTTATCACCTTTCATATGAATTCATGATTTAAATTTATTTTAAGTTGTTTGTTCGGGTGTTCTATGACGATAGTGAAAAAGAAGAATACAAGAAACGTCTAAATCAACTGTTCAGGCTAAAGTTACAACATTATATTTATATTTGCAAACTTTTAATTTCCTGTAGCAAAACTAGTTATGCTGCCCAAGACTGACATGCTTTCTTATCAGTATTCACAAACCCTTTAATTAGTTGTTCAATGAAACACCTTTATTAACTCTTTTGATCTTAATATCTCTGCCTATAGAACAAGAGGTATAATAGAGTGAATTATTCATGGATCTAATCCTTTCTACTGAGTAGAAAGACGCTCTATATCCAAGTAACCAAAACCTGCATCCAACCAAAATTTAAAACATTTATCATTCCTGTTTATCAGTTTAAATAAATTTGTGGGGTTTTACCCCAGAAATGTCTTGACTTTTTTTACTGTATGCACCTGTTTATTTTAGTATTGTATTTATCAAAACCTTGAATGAGGGACAAAAGTCTATTGTTACAGCGCCAGGCTTCTCAATCACACGCTTGAAATCGTACAATTAACTTTTGTGACGAAGTGAGTTTTGGTGGACGCTAATCATTGCGTTTCCATGACATTCCATAGGTACGTGCCCTAAAAAGCTTTGTGTTTTCCGAAAATGCTGGGAAATAATATGATTTGCGTCCACCAAACTCTTTTATGTCTAGAAAAAAAATTTCACGATTTGGCGACAATTTTTCTTGTCTTTGTTTGAGAAGCGCTGTAAAGTCACCAGATGAAGTAACGTGAAAACGAAGAACTTTAAACAACCTCTTCGCCTTCCATTCCTTCCAAACGCTCCGGCATACGTGTTTTGGGAGAGTTCTAACAGTCAAGAATACGCTGCCATTGTCATGGATGCAGTCAGCTCACTAGTCTAATCAACTTAGATATCGTATCCTTGACATTTTTAATCCCTATAGTTGAGGGCTGGAGTATAAGGAGATAAAATAAAGCTGAA